AGTAAAAGAGTAAAAGAGTAAAAGAGTAAAAGAGTAAAAGAGTAAAAGAGTAAAAGAGTAAAAGAGTAAAAGAGTAAAAGAGTAAAAGAGTAAAAAAGTAAAAAAGTAAAAAAGTAAAAAAGTAAAAAAGTAAAAAAGTAAAAAAGTAAAAAAAATAGCAGGCTGAAGGAAGATTGGTAGACTGACCCTAGAGGAACACTCGTAGGCTCAACTTTATATATAATTTTTATTAACAACCTTGGAGACAAAAAGGAAGAGCTGATTTTGTTAATGCGGAAGGGCCCTGCCGCAGATGACAAGGATGTAACACAGCCAAAGGGCTGGATTACCTGGAGGGCTGCAGTACGAGAGATACTGAAAAAGAGGAGGGCAAGAACGTGCAAATAGAGTTCAGCCAAAAGGTGCTACGAGTTGCTGCAAATGGTGGGGAAAAAAACAATTTGTGAGCAATGCCAGGGAACCAAGGTATTGCATGCAGAGGAGCAATGCATGTCCTGAGGTCACAGAGCCAAAGCACAGAGTCACCAGCAATAAAACATTTTGGCCTCAAATAAAACACTGTGGCCTGAGAGAAATAATGACACTGTGCAATGCACAGCAGAAAGGGGGGAAAAAAGGATATTTTGATCACATGGCCAAAAAAACATCAATTCAAATGGGAACAAGCACACAAGATAATTACTGGGCTAAAAAAAGGAACACAGACCTAAATACAAGAAAACAGTTTGACTGAAGCGGCCTAGGAGTATAAAAAGACTGAGAAATCATGTGTCCGGACCCTGCAAATACGTGACGGGCAAATAAAAGGGAGACGTTTTGCAGAAGGGCAGTGGTGGCTCCAGAATAAAGGCATGTAAAACTGGCCAAGAACAGGCTAGTTCAGGAACTGGACGGTCACTGTTAACCACTGCACAAGCCAGCCTCTACGCAGGGCTTTCAGTGAGAGCAATCCCAGTAACTGATCCGACTGCAGCTCCACAAACCCCGCTGCTCTCACCCCGAGAGCTCCTGCCGGGAGGAGATGGGATTTATCCTGTTGCATTCAGGCATCCCTGCAATGCTAATGTGAATTCACATTGGCCCTCAAGCCTCTCTTCTCTTGAACTCTGCACTTAATCACAAATATGCAAACCTTCCATACACCAACATCCCCTTCCATACACCAACATCCCCCCCCACACACCAACACCCACCTGCACCCCCTTCCATACACCAACATCCCCCCCCACACACCAACACCCACCTGCACCCCCTTCCATATACCAACACCCACCTGCACCCCCCTCCATACACCAACACCCCCCTCCATACACCAACACCCCCCTCCATACACACCAACACCCCCCTCCATACACACCAACACCCCCCTCCATACACACACCACCACCCACCTCCAACCCCTTCCACACACCAACACCACCCTCCACACACCACCACCCACCCCTCCATCCCCTTCCATACACCAACACCCACCTCTGCTCCCTCCATACACCAACACCCGGCTTGTAGCAACACCTGCACTAACCCCCTTTGGGTGCAACAACTATTTAGTGGGTGGGCTGAGGAAGAAAGTGTTCCTAGGGATGCCATGGAACCGTTCTCTACTCCTCTCTACTACATTATCCTAATTTACAATGGATTTAAGTGTCAGCGACGGGACACGCTCCAAAAAGCGGGCACGTCCTGGAGGCACATCCATTGGGATGAAAGGAGAAAACACACAGATCGAAATGCAAACGCATCAAGGGCAGAATATCAGGAATGAAATTGAAGAAAAACCTCAAAAAACTGCAGGCTAAACAAACTGTTAGCAACAACGTGAAGTGTGACTGCTACCCATGCCTCTGCAGAGCACCCCGTGCACTTTACTTGGCTGAAATTATGCCARTTATTTTATCCATCATGCTGGGTGTTTTATAAGTGAGCTATTAAAGCATCATCTAGAGGTAAGAATTACAAGAAAGAAAGAATCACCACCATAATGATMAAGAATTATCAAAAAAATTGAGGAAAACAACAGCAGCAACAAGTTTTCTGATAATGAAAACTTAGGCATCCAGGCTTCTAACTGCAGCACTTCAGCTCAGWGCCCTTCTTGGATGTGCTGAATCCAGAGTAAAATCTGTAACGAGATCCTTGCTGCCGGGTAGTAAAAATACAACTATAAAGAAGCTGTAAATATATTTATATAACATATATAGAAGTAAAATTGAAACAGATGCACATCATCCACAGCAATTACTTTTTGTAATATGAGTTTCTTCTCATCATCAATGTGTAAGAGAGAGGCAACAAATAAGAATGGAAAAATCAGAGCAATTTCTGTCATTTAGACATCAGCAACGGGTACRAGCAGGATAGGAAATCATGACAACCTAATTAAAGTAAGCCCTTGCCAAAAATAGCAAATAAGCATTTCTGAAACTACTGCCTTGCCCCAGATAAAATATAAGATTATCAAGATGAACAGCAAAAGTTGCCACGCATCATTTTGCRATCAAACTTGCCTTTCACTCTTATCCCCCACACAGTGATGTCAACGCAAAGACATCCACTGATTTCAGCCTGTGACAGGCCACACAGCAGCCTTCACTCTCCTTCCTACCTGTTTGCACAGCTTGGGGCTCTCAAGGCYGAATAAAAGCAACAGACAAAGTTCAATTCTTCAAGCTATTTTTTTTTGTAGTTCAAAAGTAAACTTCAGAGCCATAAAACCTGAAACGTTTGCAGATMAACGTGTTACATTGTTCCCCGCCTGCCTCTACTTTTGCAATTTGTGATCTACGTGGAACCATTCTGTTCATGCAGAAGGCAGAAATGAGTTCTTGCATGATGTATTCAGTGCAAACACAAATTTCTCAGTCCTTCAAAAGCATTAGAAAATTCCTTCAGTGATTTTTCTCTTCTTTCTCAAAGTCTCTCTCTTGTTCTCAAGCAAGAAGAGAAAGAAAGGCAAGTATCAAGCATCAGKGTGGAGGCTTTTGACAAGCCTCTTTGTTGAGGCTGTAATACTGTGTTCAGACTCCAACTGCTTGCCAAAACAAAAACAACCAAACAAAACAAAACCCCAAACAAACATAAAAACTGTTCAAAAAGCAAAACTAGGCCAAACAGGATTTTCAAAGGTTCTTCATACAAAAATTAGTCTTCCATTTTGAGTATGGTTCTACCTTGAGTTTGTAAGCACAGTCAGTCCTTTACAGTACTCAGAGGAAGTCACAACAACCCATTCTTCCTCTGTAAATCCTAAGGCAGGACATCTCCACGGATGTTTAGAGGTGTGTAGAGCAGCTGTGCCTAAGGTCTGCTTCTCATTTTGAATTATCTCACACAGGTGGCCAGAATCAGCTTGCACACAGGACAGAGTTCAGTCTATGAGCTCCCCTTGTGTACCCAGAGATCCAGGCACGGGAGCCTGGAGTGCTACTGAATGAAGCAGATGTAGATGCTGTCTACCTTGGTGGGGGCAGAATTGCCCTCTAAACTATATTTACCAGTCTGTCTAGGCCACCACGAATAACAACAGAGCTTTGACAAAACCTTCACACGTGGACACAGACAGGGATTCTGAGGTTTGTTTGCCGTGCTGCACAATCACGCTGGGTTCAGTGTGCAAGGTCCCCACGCAGAGCTGGAGCTGCTAGCACTGCCTTGCCCTTTGCCTCCAAGGAAAGGCCACTCATCCGGGTCGCTGCTTGAGCTGTGGCACGTCTCCCACCTTYGTCCTGCTCTGGGATCCCTGCTTCACTGGCCTCTCACACTCCTGGAGCAGAAGTGCCAGATCTGTGACTGCTTCCCYAGGCCGGTTCCCCAGCAAGATACCGGCACAGGAAGAAACTTACCCAGCAGCTGCAGCTAGGGAGGGAGGGAGAAACGAGCCACCGACCAACATCTTTACAAACCACTGAATCAAGGCTAAAATCTGATTATAAAGCAGGCCGCCTTAAATACAGATCCACAGAAAATATTCATCCCATGAAAGTCCATTTTATCTCCTAAAACTAAAAACTAATAAAGGGATGAATGTAAAGAAAAAATCAAAGCCAAGCTCCTATGTGCAAACATAACTATAAATTTTTAGCATACCAGGCAATATTCTTCCAAGAAGAGCATCCAACAACCAAAAGGATTCCTCTTCGTTCTTTGTAATAAGAATCAAGTATCCAGCTATGAAATTCATGCCCTGAAACAGAAAAAGTTTTAAGATGCAAACAGTTAAAGAGTTATAAGCTGAGTGTTTCTGTTCCTTTGGGTTAGCGCTCTGAAGTATTGCGTGTCCCCAAAGTTTGTAATACCAAAAGGAACTGCTACCTACAAGAGGGTATTTTAAGTGAAAACTAGTCATTAAGAGCCACTGATTGAGTAAGCTGTAAAACCTGCAGGATGACAGCTAGCAGAAACTATTAAGAAAGCTCACAGAGATAAAATAAAATTCAGGACAGTGGTAATTTTATTTTTTAAATTCCAACTCTCCTGATACAACAGGTGACCCGTTTGCCTAGCACCACAGCACAGATATCTCCCGTGTGCATGACAAACACTGCACACTTGCTGGTGGTGGGTGCAGCTGCAGCAGCACAAGGCCCCTCCAAAGGCCCCTCAGCAAACGGTTACAGGTTTTATGAGCWGCTGCTGCTCAGCTCATCACAGGGCTGCACACACAGCACTGTTTTCCCTTAGCATCTGCAGCACTCCACTTGCAAATCACTCTGGCCACTGGAGCCCCTTCCTTTCAGTGTAAAGATGACAGGGAAACAGCCAGGGAAAGTAATTTTTAAAAGATACAAGAAGTGTGAAAAGTGCCCAATTCCTACCCAGTCAAATCCCAGTGGCACAACTTGCTTAACCTGTATGGAGGCCCCGGACCAGAGCGGCCCCACACAGAGCTGCCCGTGGCTATTCCCTGTAACACGCTGCCCCGGAGAGCTCCYGGGAAGCGCTCTCGTTTCTCATGGCCCTGCAGAGGGAGGGCAGGGCTGCTGATTTACCCRCTTTGCTCTCCTCGGCTTCCTCAGGGAGTTCCTGAAGATTATTTTGCCCCATCGTGAACAAGCTGACATGTGAACAAGCATCAGCCGCAGCACGATGCAGAACATGCAAGCTGCCCTCCCCGCTAGGAGAGTTACCTGTACATGTATACAGGCTATCGCACAGACAGCATCGGTCACAGCACCTCCTTTGGTTTCACGCCTTTCTCTGGTCTCCTCCCTGCCCTCTCCCGAGCTCTGCCTCCCTGGCACTGCCTAAGGTGCCGGCTCCGCAGCGTCCCCACGGGCTGGGCCGCCAGCGAGCGCCGGCGCAAGACAGACGCTGCCACAAGCCCCTGCCCTGGGGAGACAGGGGAAGCTGCACGCCCCTCTCTAACCCAGAGCCTCATGTCCTGCCTTCAGCACCTTCTACCCGMCCGCCCGCCGCAGCAGGACCCACCACACTGTGGGGACACGGCCTCTTCCCCAACATCTCGTCCCTGCCRGTGGCTGCGGCGGAGGCTGCCAGGCTGCCTTTCCACCCGTCGCCTCCACCGTGACCGGGGCTATCAGGCTCTGGGCACGGCAAGCACAACGGGCTGCTTCCCTGGCAAACACCCACGGCGCTCCACGTCCGCTGCTCACGCTGGGGCAGGCAGCTGCGGCCCCACGGCAGCGCGACACGGCAGGGCCCGGCGCTCGCAGCCGGGGCCCGGCGCGCCGCGAGCCCCACGGGCGCTCAGGGGCCCTGCTCGCTAAAAACTCTGCAAAACGCTACAAAATGCCTCCACTTTGAATTTCCTAGTGCCCAGAGGAGCTCTCAGGCTATACAGCTATTTAGCCACAAAAGATAACGTGCAGCCCCCGAGGGGACCTGAGGTCAAAAGAACTGCACACAAGGCTCTCCTGGCCAACTTCTTGCATTCCCCCTTGGGGTCTGTTCATAAGCCCAGTGAGAAAACAAATAACACTTTTTAATAAAAATTGGACATGTATTTCAGGCAGAAGCTACCATGGTTTAGAAGCTGTGTATATGTTTGTGAGTCCAACTCCCTATATACAAAGGCCTCATAAAACAGGAAAAAAAAAAAAAGGCATATATTACTTTCGTATCTCAAAGAATCTTGGTGCTAAAATTGGTTAGCATGACCCCCAAAAATTTGCTTTATCAAGTTCAGTCAAGGTCTAAGTCCTTGCAAGTCACCTACTATCCAGCTTTCAATAAACGAATTCATTCTAACTCAGGGGYAGATGTATTTATTGGAGTAACTTCCTTAACTGGCCCCAGGTCCACRTAAGCACATGTGCCTTTGGTGAGAAAAGGGAGGAGAGAGGGGAGGGCTTTACAGGAACCGAGAACAGACTTTGCTCATAGCAGTTCCTGCTTCTGCTTGATCCATAAAACGGCCTTTTTCTTTCCCGACTGATTGCCATGAGTCCACTAGTATCTTCTTTGTGTCCCCAAAAGAAATTTCACAGTTTGGAAATGCCRACAGCACCTTTTTTTAGCTGCCATCTAAGCTGCATCAGGTGGAATTTCAAGTAATTTTTCTTCTTACTTCACTGTCAAGACGTCGAGATGCCACCAAACAAAGGCTCCCAACACGCCCCCCTCCACAAACATCCCCCCCCAAACTAGCTAAGATCCTAGGAGGGGTCACAGGAGCTCTGGTTTCCCTGTTCTTCCAAAAATGTTCAGTGAAAACAAAGGAAGCAGAGATATGATAATCCCTTGTACACAGCAAGGGCAACCTGCAGATAGTGATTATTTCTGTTTTTAAAATGTCACTGGGGCAAAAAAAAAAAAAAAACCCAAAAAAAGTTTATGAATCCAATTTTGTTCTCTTTCATCAGCTTTACCATCTAAAACTGTAAACTCAAATGGAGGAAAAGCAAGCAATTACCATTGATGAAAGGCAGCACTGATCAGGAAACACTGACTACATACCTGGCAGTATCCCACTGCTTTATTATGATGCCCATACGCTACCAGCACGTTGTAGAGCGTATGCTGCAAACAGGGATCTGCAGTTTTGCGGAATTTGACATTATCTGGAAATGTTCTGTTCATGTCTGGAGAAAAGGAAAAAGAGAAGACCAAAATTAACCGCCAATGCCTCCTTCACCTTCCCAACCAATCTTGGCAACTTTCCTGAAGTGCTGCTGAAGCTCCACCGGAGTTCATGACACCGTGGTGTTGATGGATGAATTTTAAGAAAGAGCTTGACCTCCTTTATTGGCTAAAAGGCCATCTTACATTSCGGGATAATCTACTTCTAGAAAGACTAATCCTAATAGGATACAGAAATCCTAATAGGGTACAGAAATCAATTTTAAGCAGGCCTAAGGAGATGCTCCTACAGACTGGACTTTCTCTAAGGTCCATTTGTGAAGGCTTAAATGACAGCAAACCAGCCCGTTGTACTGATGGAAACACCACCAACCAAATTTACCTAGCCAAGTGCTGATACATGAGCTGCAGCTCTGGGAAAGCACAGATTTTCCTAACAAAGCAAGTGAGCTTTCAACTGCCCTATCCTTTGGTGAACTCCTACRGAACAGTCCCGAGAAATTTAAAATAAGTCCTGTTCCTGCAACTAATCCTAGCTCCTTGAAACTACTTTATTTTTTTGAAGATTTCTTCCCCTGGATGCGACTGAGACACAACCCGTTTCTTCATTTATATAAGATCACACAGAAGCAGACTTATTTTTGAAGTTCACATAGCAATACACATCCCACATGCTTCATGTGCAATCCTAAACAAGCAAGACATCTGCTGATGTCCCAAAGCAGTCACTGCTCCCAGACCCAAACTTCTCCTGACTGAAACATCTAGAAGGTGGGCACACAGGTTTGGGCCAGACACCCAAAATGTCCTTTGGTTGTTAGATAAAAAGGAGGCAGAATTAAATTGGTCTGTTTCACTCCATAAAGAGGAAACCCAGGGTGACTAGACCTGACTTGCATATGTGATTTTTACACATCTAGGGCAGGGGAGAAAAATCCCATTAAAAAACCCATTGCACTGCCATCATCTCCAAAACTCAAGACCTATTCATGAAACACGAACAGTTATTTTGGTTCTATTTAACAATATAAGAACTTTTTGGTTTGTTTTTAAACTTTAACACAGTCAGCTTTGTTACACAGTTGTTTGTGTCCTGAGAGATATCGGGTCTTATCTGCTCTTCCTGTGTAAAGGAAGAAGTCTGTTGTATCTTTGACACGAAGCTGAGCTGTAAGCAACTAAGCAAGCCCCTCAAAGCCACGAGAAAGTCCAGCCACCATACTAATCACCATCTCTTCCCTCTTAAGTCAATAAATCATTTACAGAAACRGGAGGGCAGAAGGCGGTTTCAATTCACCTCTCGTGACTTTTGAGAACAACACAGGGAAAAACACAGTTTTTAAAAGCACTTGAGCGCCCGCCAGAGAGTTAGAGGCTGAAGAAATCTGCTTGTCTTCCTCTTGACAGGAAGAGCAGCACAGTATCTGCATACCGAGGACAAGCTGTTGCTCAGTAAGGTATATGCTGGATGTTACAGGAAAGATTAACGCTGACATTTCACTCCTGGCTCTTCCCTTCAGCCGTGCAGAGCCCGTGGGGGGAGCAGGAAGAGATCATCACGTACAGAGCAAAGGCTAAAAAGGCTGATCACACTGGGCTCATCCTGACCCTGCAGCCCGGGGAAGGCCTGCTGTTAACAGCAGCAGCTTCAGGCTGCTCTCCGATTACCCTGCGCCTTTTTCTGAGAAGGCAGGGGAAGTCGTTGCTAGCTTCAYGAAGGATTTTGTACTTCACGTTTAGTGCAGGCATTTGAGCCTGAGGAAAGGGGCTTTAACAAAGATCAGCATCTTGAGAGCACCAAGGCCAGGGGGTCTCCCTTCCTCTCCGTCCCCCCACTTGCACGTCCCTCCTCGCCCGCCAGGTCTGCTGCCCCTCTGCTCACAAGACAAGCAAAGTTATCATATTAAGCCAGCACTCACAGAATGATACGTTTTCCCACTGCTACTAGAAAGCTGCCAGAAAGGATCTGAGGCAAATGGTAGGAGCAGGCAAGAGGAGCTGCTCATCCTGCTCCCCTCTGCAATATTCCAGCAGAGACATCTCCACACCTCCTCCTCCTGCTCCGTGCAGCCCACTCGCTGACCTGCTGCCCATCAGCCTCCCTCAGTTCCAACACAGGTCCCTGTTCCACAGGAATGCAAGTTGCAGAGGTTGAAAGTTTTTAAAAACAAGTTGTYCAGTTAAAGAGCACGGCACTTTGTGCCACTGGATAAACCCCCAAACCCTCCATCTTGTGGTTGTGTGCAGATCCGTGCACTATAACCAAATAACGTACAGGAGTATGGGATCAGGAAGGAGGAAGGCCACAGAAGGAAGAGCCCAGCTACTCCTTTGCTATAAAACATGAATCCCAGCAGTGTTTGTTTTTCTGCCTGACCTTCAGTGCTGTGAGAGGGCAGGGCAACGTGACTGTGAAACAGAAACCCACGCTGGCCCTGCAGCCCCTTTCCTCTCCATTTCTCTGCACAGCGTCCTAGAGGAGACGGCTTCTTTCTCTTCACATGGCTGCAACATTTCTACCTCTTAAGCAGTCATAAAAATGTGGGCAGAAAACCACATTATTCTCAGTTCAAGATACAGACATCTCTTTTGCTACCTGGAATTGCAGATGTTATTTCTGGAGCAATGCAATTTAAATATGCAGTAGATGTTTTTGTACCATGTACTTGTGCTTTCCAAACCCAGGGTACTTCAGCAGCCAGGTGTACCCCTAACTCAGGGGTTCTTTATCTTGCTCTTCTACCCTCTCTGTACTTGTCTTCATACCCAGGAGCCTCCCTACTCCCAGATATAATGCTCAGTAAATTACACAAGTAGTTTAACAACGTGCATGTAGCACTGTGCTTTTGGTATTTATCTAGCTGCTGCTACATCTGTAACTTGCTTCTGCTCCTCTAAGCATGCAAAATGSTTTTTTTTTTTTTTTTTTGGTATCCAGCAAAGAGCAGAATCCGCTTTAAAACAAGCAAACCAACTGACACTATAAATTTGAGAGGCACCCTACCTCTTAACTACTGCACAATCCTGGGCTTCTCATCACCCAAGGGCGGTATCAGAACTGGCCAAATGCAGCGACTGGCAGCGAGGAAGATCACAGGCATGAAATTGCTACCACCTGCCCAAGGACAAGGTCGGCTACAGCTCCTTGCCTGGGGAGGAGATGCTTCTGGGTGAGCTGGGAGCACAAAGGTCTGCAAAATCATAACCAGCAGGTGAGAAAGAAGCAATTTTTTTTTTTTGTGATCTTTTTCCCCCATCTGGGGCTATTAAATACAAACATGCTGCATTTTATGGAGGAATTCCCTAAGCCAGAGAGAACTGGAAACTGGGAAAATATTTGGAGGGAGTATCACTGTACACTTTCCTCCTTCAGTTCTTCCTTTGGCTCATGTGGCAGGGAGAAGACTAAGCAAGGTCTAGCTTAACTACTTCAGAGAAAACTTGCAAGGCTTTGATCATGACATTCTCACTGTCTCCAACGAGAGTGTCAACAGCTACYGTTTGAATTACTTTTCTCAGTTTATTAGAAACTAAACTAAGACTCTGCTATTGCTGTCCAGTCTGCATAGCTTAGGCCCAAGGATCTGGGAGGTACTGGGGACCAGCCCAAATCTCCTTGTATGAACAAATCATCCACATTTTGGCTTTTGCACTGCACGAAGAGATTAGGGGTGTGTGTGTGTGTAAATAATCTGTCTGCACACATATGTGCACATTTATTATTAAAAAAAAAAAGCTTTGCTAAGAAAATTTCCACTAAATTTTATGCACCTGCCTTCTGTAAGCATTTTGTCCCATCTCCTTTCATTTATCTTTTAAAAGAAAAGGGGGAAAAAAAGTAATACATTGAAACACTGAGTGCTATATAAAACACAAGGACAGCAATAAAGTCCACCAGTTAAACATCAGCAAGTTAAAGAGCAAAAAAGGTCAAAGGCCAGTTTAGATTTAACTGAAGCTTTTGTTGCTACTACTAACTGGATTTTTAAAAGAAGATAACAACATTTCTCTGCAGTTTACCTGYCCTATTTAACTGCTGCCCCATTGAAAACATTCCCATATTGAAAAAAAGTTTAAAATGTACATAAAAATTGTTTAAAGCTTCTGAGCATGCGAAAACAAAACAAAACAAGACACCACGGGCTCTTATGCAGGCTTTAAATTGCATTTGAAAGAATGCCTTTAATTAACCCCATAAAAACGAAGCTTGGCTGATGTTTTCTTGTTGCACCACAGCATTACTTTACAGCTAGACTATAGGACTAAATAAGACACAGTTGCCTGACATTTTTGAAAGCTGCACATACAAAGTGAATGGTAGCCAGGTTCCACATCTTGATTTATTCCCTGTGATTACCAACCAAAGCGATGGGAAAACAACATGAGCAGAAATGCCCCCAATGTTAAACCAAAATCTACACTGAAATGACACTCAGCTAAAGCCCAGTATAAATCTGCACGGTTAAGAGAAGCACTACGTTAACTATACACAAAATCTGCGCTACCCTTAAGCATTTATTCTCTCATTCCATCCTTCTTTAGCTCTTCTAAAACATCATTCCCTCCATAATTCACATCATCTTCCATTATTTTTCCTTCCTCCCAATAATTATTTTCTTAGTATCACCTGTGTGAAAATCCCCCTGCTGTCCTGATATGATCCTTGATGTTTCTGTCTAGAAGTGGAGTGGAAATTGTTTGCAAGCCCTCTTGCAGTAACTGCCCTCTTGTCAAGAGTGCAGAGCCTTCTCCTTCCCTGAGTCACTGCCAGGGAAACTCATCTTAGTAGTTCCCTCTGCTGCTCATCAAATCAGAGCTCGGCTCTTCCTATCTCGGAGCAGGGCAGGAGTCTGGAAATCTCTGCCTAGCCTTCCCATTTGCAGGAACATGGGAATTTGTGTTCCAAAAAACCTTACTAAGGCGTGCAATCCCCAAAGCCCACGTTGCTGCTGCTGTTTGGTTTGAGAAGAAAGAAATAAATTTGACCTAAACCAAAAAATATTCAGAGTTCAGATGATTACACAACTACAACTAACATGAGCCAAGCCCTCACTTCAAGCACCCAGCTTTTTCAAGGGGGGAAAGGTGGCAACAACTGCACTTGCCTTCTTAGTGAAGCCCCACAGCGTTGTGCTGGCCCCAAGCACAGCCACCTCCAACTCCCAAGTTGGGCCATCGCACCAAGATTAACTTCTTCACAAAAATTCTGCTACAGTAAGTTGAAACGGTTCAGGACAAATACAGGTTACATCAAACTTCTTCCTTATTGCCCTCCCCTATTGCCTTCTTCTAAGAACACCCAGCAGGCCAAGTTTTGGTTGTCCCCAACACCCACCACCAACATTGGCCACTGGCCAACGCTCTCAGGTAGAGAGCAAGAAACTGGAGGAGGAGAGGAGAGCTGTTTCCTCTTCTCTGCTCCTCCTCTTTCAGGGATTTACATTCAGTGGTTAGGACTTCATGAGTCAGAGGTTACACCCATATCACTATGATCATCCTGTGTAATTTCCCCACCCTTCAATCTGTTAAATTCTTTCTGGCCAGGTTTATGCTATGGCCTCTGCAGCACCCTCCAGCAACAAGTGCCACACAGGTCAGCGACACTCTGCTCTAAACCTCCAGCGTGGTGAATCTCCTTCCRCGCCTTTGGTTCTTATGCAAGAAGAAAAACTAACATTTACTTCTCGTTCATAGAATCACACAATCCTTAAGGTTGGAAGGGACCTTTAGAGATCATCCAGTCCAACCCCCCTGCACACGCAGGGTCACCTGGAGTACACGGCACAGGGTTGTGTCCAAGGGGATTTTGAGGATCTCCAAAGAAGGAGACTCCACAACCTCTCTTGGCAGCCTGTTCCAGGGCTCTGTCACCCTCACTTGTCCACCCTGTTTACAGCACTTCTCATCCATGCATGTCTCTTAGGAGCTTCTCCTCAGCAGACTGCTTCCCACGCTGCAATCCCACTTTAACTCATCTGTCTTGTATGGGCACCATTCCACATCTTCAGCCGTCCCTGCTGCTCTAGGGAGAACCAGACCCAAAGGCACCTCTCATGGTATGGCGGTGATCACTCAGGAGGTGATATAAGAGCATGCTCTTTCTTTTTCCAATTGTTTTCCAAATCATTTCTAGCCTTCCTTAGTATTTTCTGACCACAAGATGAACCTGGAAAGAGCTGTACTGTTAAAGAGCTTATGGCTAATCTAATTTATACGTTAATTCTGCATTTAAATCACTACTACAACAGCCTCAGTTTTCCATGACATAACTTGATCTTTAACATTTAAGAGCACASGACAGTAAAACATGAATATCAATGTAAGGACAATAACCTGTTTTGATTGCTTCAACCAGCTTGTCATTTTTCTCTCCCTCAAGCAGTCTGTGGTAGTATCCAGGGTTTTGCTCCATGTTGGCTTGAGCCCCACTCACAATCATCCAGACCAATGCACGGTGTTCATTGGGGATGCCTTTCCTGATATATCTCTTCACTGCAAAACAACAAGTTTTTCTTTTTAGAACACATTGCACGCTGAATTTTTTACTTTTGAAAGGGAATAAGACAAAGCTGAGAAGTCACAGAAAAACTACTGAATGGAGCTTACTGTGCTTTCCCTCCCCTATAATGAAGTTTAGGATGAGCATTTCTCCCTCAGCTATATGGTCCATTCTAGGCTCCTAAGCTCTTGCTACCCAGAACCTTCACACCACTTCCCAGGACCAGACTTTCCTCCCTCTTCTATTCCCATGWTAGGATTTTGATTCCCTCTTCCATCTTTCCAGTGTCTTTACGGATGGAGATAACMACCAAAGACTTCTCATTGGTCTTTGCCCTTTTTCATGCAGGAAGGATCTGGAGTTGYTTTTCTTCTTTCTTTACATTTCTAGTGGCTTCTAAAATGATACCACTTTCTGATTGCGAGGCTGTACACTAGCATAACTGGCTCTGTTGACATAACTCCAGGATTTCATCACTGAAATTACAGTAGGGTAGGAACAGAAGCACCTTTTTAGCTCTTGAGCACTTGTGGCTACCATCCGCACGAGCTCCCTGAAGAACCAAAGATCTGGCAGAGCAGCAGATGATTTTTCCCCTACAACAACTAGGGAAGTTCTTTCAAATCGTGAGCAATTTGCATCTCAGGTATCTTATTCATCAAAGTTATTTATTTATTATTGGTGCATACGTCAGTGTAAATTAGTTAGTAGGATGCATGACTGCAGGAAGAAGCCTCAGGCTAATGACAGCCAAAGCAACATCGTACTGGGAAAGGAATGAAAAATATACATGAGGACCCAATGCTGCTGCTGCTGCTGCTCATCGGGGTATCAGGGGTGTAAATCAGTGCTACTCGGTGCTAGAGAAATAAATGACAAAGGAATTGGGCATTTCTTACTAAATACATGAAACTGAATTCAGGGAAGAGACGTTGATAGCATTGATTAATACCACAGGATTCAAATGAGTGACCTTGTGCATACAAAATAAATCATCATCCAATCGAGTTTTATCCGGTCGCAAAGATCAGTAACTTAAGCTAAGTGATGCCTAAATCAAAGGKAGTTTGCCTGAAAATTGGCAGAGTGAAACCAGAGTTTACAACTCAACCAGTCATTTTCCTGATTTTCATCCCTATTTTACCTGCCTATACCTTAAGTATCAAAAACCACCTTCTCCAGTGAACAGGGAGATCCGTGYACCTCCAAAGTGCGTTTCATCCACCTCTTAACTCCCTCACTTGGTCTCTCAGACAAGGCAAACGCCCCTACCCTTCACTGCTGTGATAATCACCTGGCCTTCAGTGCAGTTCCTATTTAGTGTTCCCATCAGGAATAGTCTCTACCGTTCCAACAGGAAAGTAACCTTAGCTACACTCTTCTTTCAGATGGTCTGGAAGTAGTTTAGAAGTGTTCATGGGCTTCAACAGCCCTCAATTCATCTTTATAACCCATCTGGAATTCTAACACTCAAGAAATCCTATAGACAGGCCAAGCAAAWGCAGAAATACATCTGAGGAACCCTCTCCTGGGTACACCAAGGGGAAGAGCTGTTTGGATGAGCCTGGGAATGCCACTAAAAATATTCTTATTGGATGAATTATCACATTAGCACACTCAAACATATAATCCTGATGTTCTGCTTTTCTGGAACAAGTCTGAAAGCGTGACGAGCATCCTCAACACACACTAAATGCAAGAGAGCCTTGACACTGAGCCCGGGGGAGCAGAGGGCAGCAGAACTTGTCCTCACTGCTCTCCTGGAGCACTGTGTGTTCCTGTGACATGGACAGCCTGAGCCTGGCTGTGCCCTAAGTGACCATGCAGGCCCAGCTCCACAAGCTCGCCTCTGCCCTCAGCCATGCAAATCCACCCCGTGTTTGGACTAGACCTCAGTGTCTTCAGAGGGAGCTTCTCCTTGTGTCATTACCCTACCTGCCAAAATCTGCACACAAAACAGCAACATCATCTTAAAAAATCAGAAAACCTGCAATTAAAATATATGTTTTCCTACACCTCCAACACCATGTTACCCTCAAGAAAGAAAAATAATGTTAATATATTTTTCTTCCTTGTTATATGGTAAGTAGTCTTACCACATGCATACTAAATCATGTGGCAATTCCCCATTTAAAAACAAAAACTCTCTTAAACCCTAGGAAAAATAAATTCTACAGCAGAGCTGAAAACASCACATCTACCGGAAATTGCATGTTTTATTTTATGAATATACCACAGAAGAAAGAAAGCCAATTTTCTGTGCAGTATATGTTCACTTTAAACACAGAATTTCAACAGTGGRTGTGGACTTTCTAAGATGCTCCATTTTCCCCCCACACTGAAACAGGAATCTTCTAGCTAGGATCATTTTCCAGTACTTCTACTTTTTGCCTTTCGCTGTATTTTATCAGCCTCCAAGACAAGAAGACACTTTCAGTGACTTGTCAGTTCAGACTAGCTCACTTGCCAAGTCCCCTTTCGCAGCGCACTTTGGGTCAGAATTCAGCTCTTTTGGGTAACTCTGGCAGACAGCTTGCTGCCCACCTGCAAACCACCTGTCTCCTGGTCCCGCAAAGAAGGCAGCTCAAGGGGGAAAGCGAAAAACAGAGGCGCTCAGGAGAGGGGGAGAGRGCGCCAAGGCAAGCGACCAAACACTTCCCACGTGTGAGGGAGGTGCTGAAAGTAACAGGGGGAGAGGGAGCGGGGGGAAGTACCAAAAAAAGTCAAAAATAAGGAGTCTGGAAAGGAGAGAAAGGACCTGTCAACCAAAACTCCTGCCACCCACCCTTCCAGAAGGATCCGGAACAACAGGATATGCTGCTTAATTGCTGTTGCTCAGGAGTAGCCTCATTATTTTCCCTCGTAATAGAGGAGAATTATATATGTGTACACACACCACACTGGACTCAAGGCAAAACGCAGCAGCACGTGATTGAGCCACATYTCCAGCCCGGAAAATCAGTGTCTGGCCTCCCTGCTCCCTGTGACGAGCTCTGGCACGTGGCACATGCCAAGACGGGGCTGCCGGGATGCCATGCCCAAGCAGCCCCACTGGCACGGCAGCTCGCTCCCGGGAAGGGCCCCATGGCACCGGGAAAAGGGGCACAGGTTGCAGAAGTAGCTGGGGGACCCGCGGGAGAATTCCCAGTGGGAATTCAAATACACTTGTGAGTTGTAGCTTCTCGTCCACTCGCAACRGAGCGGATGTTATTGGGAAGAGCAGCGCGAGCTCTGAGCAAAGCTTYGGAGCAACAGCAACGCGTCCTGCGAGAGGGGCGCTCGGCGAGCAACCCTGAAGGCTCTCCATCCTCACGGATCCCTGAGGAAACCGCCACGGGATCACCTTTTACAGGAGACAACTTGCCCAAGCAACTGCTTAAGTAATTCCACGCGAGTGTGCCCCGGCTTCAACCTCCATACGGATACCACGGGGCAAGGGTCTGGATCAGGCTGCACTGGTGAAGCTGCTGCTCTCCTCCTCACAGGTCTCAGTCAACGCTATAGCAAGGAACAGACGCTCACTGTGGCCACCTTCGTTTTACATTTAGACTGTRGTTCCTCAACTCTACTGCATTCCAGTCATTCTCCTTCTAATTACACGTGACAGATCACACATACACATGAAAATGCATGGTGTATGAATCGGAGTAAAAGTTAAAAGCAGAAGTCAATAATCACAGAATTACAGAACGGTTGAGGTTGGAAGGGACTTCTGGAAATCATCYAGTCCAGCCTCCCTGCTCCAGCAGGGACACCTAAAGCACGGAACATGCTCTAAAATGGTGTTTAACTTGCTGAATGAGGCTTTACGCTGTTTATGGCAGGAGGCTGTTGGAGATCCTAGGGTCAAATGTGGAGGATGCTGCTGCTACAGACATGATTTGCGGCCTGTGTCCACCTATCTACTGCACCCTGCAATGCCCAAACAGCAGCAGACTTCTGCGAGGGGAGCTCGGGGGAAGATACCATAGCCTGTCACAGAGGATTAACACAGTGGTAATGGTGTTAATTGGCTCCTGGGCAGCAGGACCCTTCACTGACAGCRACGTTTGAGGGACAACTTGAGAGATTTAACTGAAGGTTTGGCTCTGAAATAAGCCCAGAGGCGTTTGCTCTGCTTGTATCTCTGCAGRGCTCTGTGTCTAATGCTGAAAGAGGCTACGCAAAACAGCTGTGGCCAAATCAGAATTGCTGCGGGTTGCAAGCGACACCCTTTGCTTTAACAAGGCAAGGAGACGAATCAAAACACAAGGGTTTTTTTTTGTTTGGGTTTTTTTTTTTGTTTTTTTTTTTTAACAACTAGAACATTAAATTCCACAGAATCTCAAAGCCCTCACTAACTTAAAAGAACTACRCAGTTAGCACTGCAACAAAGCTTAATGTCCAGAACAGAGACTTCTTTGCATTTGGAAGAAAAAGAAGGGAGTAAAAGTTGCTACTTTCCAATAGCAGTGTAGACCCAGCAGTTATAGTCCAAACCTGCATTTTATGGTGTTCTTCAAGCTCAAAATCAACCTCTTTCTACTAAATACACTGCTCCATTTAACGCTATTTATCATTTTTCTTACTGACAAGAAAACTAACTAGCAGAACTAGCACCCAAAGCCTATACCTGAAGCACAGTTCTGAATATTCATCTACACTATAGACAGTCTCATGAGCTGTTTCTTAGTTTTACTTGTTCTTTTCTTTAACAGCCTCACTGAGAACTCTGCCCAACTCAAAAAGGTTCCCAAGAAGAAGCAACAAGATACATCATCAAGAGCAAAGGGTAAAACTTAGATGCTTAAATAAGCAATCCAGAAAAGGTACAAAAACACCTTTCAGTCTCACAAGATTCCCTGCCACCTTCTAACTCTCTTTCTTCTTCTTTCCTGGCTCTTTTGCAAGCTAAAATATTACAAGTTCTCCTGCTCTTTGAACTGGGCATTAGCAGCTCCGTCAGCATTTCCTTCAACGTTGCACTAGCTCCTGAATTCATTTTACTTT